TCTGTTTTTTCCCATGTCCAAAACTACAAAATTAAAGGCCATTGCAGGCTGCCTAAATCTTTTCAGTTTAAATAAAGAAAAAAGAGTCCCCATATTTTTTGGAACTTTAAGAATTAAAATCTTCAACATTTTCTTATGAAGATGCTTTCATTAACAAATTAACATTATGTGTTTCTCACTTTTTCCTTCGATTCAATCTACCCTGTAGCTTTCAAAACTATGCCTTCACTCTCCACCATTCATATATTGTAAACAATAAAAAGATTAGACCAGTCAATTTGGTAAATTTTTATTCAGCAATTCGAAAGATGAAGTATTTTGAAAGAAATGGTCTGTTTCCAGAACCGTAAAATTTTAAGACAAGTCTGAAAAGCATTATACAAAAAATAGTAACTGCTGATTTTAAATGGTTCGAATTCTCAAGGAAAATTGATGTTTTGTATTGTCATTTTGAAATGCAGTTAGAGAATTGAAATGACACATACCGTTGAACCAAGTCCCATGTAATGATTTAAAAGCACAACTGCAATCGGTTAATGACGCGAAACGAGCAAACATCACCCCCTCCTTAGAATCCTTTTCCACATAAACATGTAACGGCTTAATTGGAGCTATTTTCTGTAGCAAAGCTTCCTTCAGATTCATAAATTTTGTTTCGTAATCTCTAAAACATTTTCACTTCCGAAAACATTTTATGAATTGAACGGAACATAAAGAAGCACAGCAATCTTTTCCACAACACAATTTTCCAAACAGAAATACACGACTCATTCTGATTTCTACATTCTTGTCGAATTTCACTAAAGTCGGGAAGTCCAATGCAGAATAAAGGGTGAACAACACTGTTACATCCTTAAAATCCTTGCTTCAAAAACTTAATCATTCAAAGGAACATACTTCGCTGAAGAAAACATTCCACGCAGCTTCAGACAATGCGATGGTGCCTGACTTAACATACTGCGCCGCATACTTCCATCAAAAGCTGTAACAAATCTAATTATTATAAATGTATTATTTCGAATACTTTTGATAAACACCAAATTAAAAATTATAATGCTTCTTCCAATAATTAATGCAGGGCAAGTGTTTTTGGATTACACATCCAAACAAATTGTCTCGTTTTTGAATTCTTGTTTTCAATGAATGTACATTATCCTTATACCAGAAGATCAATAACATCATTCAGTGCTAAATTTATAAAACGTCTTTTGTCCTTAAACCATGAATATCCAAACCTTACTGATATAGGAAAGAGAAATATAGTGCAAAATTACTTCAAAACGAAATGCAGTACTTTGCACTGTATTTCTTTTTAAACGAATGGAACAAACTACTCTGGATAAATGAATAGAAACATAAATTATAATATACGTACCACTACCCTGCCAACCATTCTTTTTGGCAGGAATCCACCGCCATACAGAACACTCTACACCATTGATAATTCGAGCTTCCGTGCTTACTCGTGATTCATTCAGATTGATAAATTTAACCGCTTCCTGCCACCGGCGCCATTCCGGGCTATTATTCATTCTAAAAAAAAAAAAAAAAAAAATCTTTATTGTAATACAAACAATTCATCTACGAATTTCATTTTCAACTTGAAAAACGAAAAATGCTTTACATATAAAAGAAACCTCTTAGATGGTGGAAGAAGCATATCTCGCACATGAGGTTCGGCGATATATGCTTGACCCTGTTCGTTTGCATCCCGAATGATATCTGCAAAAAGGTATAAAAATGATGCATTACCACACCTCTCACACATATGTAGAACTGATGATACATTTTTACATAAAAAGAAAAGTCTAGTATATTGACCTCGACACAAACCCACCAGTAATTTTCTCAATGAGGTCAAAGATACGCTGTTTATCTTCAGCTTTCTTTTTTGTCTGATAGAGTCGTAACATATAAATACCAATCATTATTCCACATACTGCAAAAACAACTCTAATTACAACAACCTTATTATTTTAAACTGAATTATGAATTACCATTCAGGAAACCAAACACATTTCTTGGCATTATTCAGTAACTAATCAGGCAGAACTATCAAACAGACTAAAAACAGCACTTTTTTTCTGGAGAGAAAAAGTTCATTATAGGTAAAGTTTGTCCAAGCTACGGATGAAATCCGCTCAGTAACTGGAAGCTTAATTCCTTGTAATGCCGATTAAGATGCGTGTTACAGTAATAGCATTTAAATTATATAATGAATAGCACTCAGTAATAACATTTAAATTATATAATTTAAATGCTAGTTCTTCGGACTATGATGGTTAAAACATTTAGAAGACAAACGAACAGAAAACTGACAAAAAAGCAAAAGCATACTTATAACCACTGTAAGTAATGGAAGAATCGCATATGTATATAAGAAAAACACGGTATCCTTGGCAGCAACTGCAACAACTGAATTGTAATTTTCGAAAAGTTTGTGCCCAGAAGTTACTATTTCATCTTAGTACATTTGTATCATTTCCTTGTACAAAGAAGGTAAATTACACGCAAGATTTTATATGAATTACTGAAAATTTTGTTTTGCACACAGCACTTATTCGACCCTGTCTAATTTAAGTCAACAAATTAGATATTCAAATGCCAACTACAACATTTAGCAAAAGCTACTGTGGTATGCACCATGAAAATAAAAAAATACGAAAAGTAAAAACATTTACCATATGCAATACGACCACTGTGGATCAAAACACCAGAATTTGCAGTCGCCAGATAAGCAATAAGCAGGAAACCAAACAGAGACACAAGAGAGAATAATAGTACTCGTGATATGTCAAAACCCAATGAAACGCTACGTGTTGGTGTAGCTTCTCGAACGGAGTATGGATATCTCCCTTTAAATGAGTGGGAATCTTTGGTAGACTGAAACTTCATAAATTTAACAAATCTAAAGCATTCGTAATACCTTATTCAGGCTAGAAAAGATTTCCGACATAAAACTTTTCCTAATTGCGTTGCATTAAAATGGATCTCCAGTTTAAATACTGAAGTGGTTAGACGCTCGTAAGACCGTAGCTTGAAATTATTGATGAAAAATCATTAATTGAAATTATTAATTAATATAGAACTCTCTCAAGTCTCCATATAGAACTACTTATTTATGAAGATAATTCAAATCAAGGTTGAAACATAAAACAAACATTTAAGAAAGACTTGCGTGGACGAATGAACTTCAGATATTTATTCAATACCGACAATACTGAGGATGGCTTCTGTGCATCTGATATTAGGACTGAACTCGGAGGAACTACACGTGAACTTTCCATATGATCATCATCACTATCATTATCATATTCTTCAACTGTTCTCGAAAAATTTAATTTTCCTTGACTATCGCTGAAATCCAACCGACGTCGTGCCCTTCGCTCTAAAAAAAGTGTTTCGTGAATTTTATGTATGAAATAACCGAAAAACAGCCATCCAGTTATTTAGCGCAAATAGTTTAGTAATAGCTACATTAATACGGAGGTACAAACTGCTGCATCATTAGGTTCACTACATCACATCGAACGACCAATTAAGCCAAGTTAATAAGTAGATTGTTAATGCATACGATCTGAGGCTGAATAAATTCCTTCAAAAGTATCGCTGCGGTCGTTCACAGATCTTCGTATGTAAGAGGAGGAAGAAGCGGAATAAGAAGGACGAGAACGAGGAACCATAGTTGGACGAGGTGGTGTCGGAAGTTTGCGTCCATCGGGAACCTAAAAGTAATAAACATAGAATTATTGTACATATTGAAAACAGAGGCTTTCTAGATATTACATTAACAAAACAAACAGGTGTGAGATCATCCGGTGCACTACTGAAAGTTTCTGAAGACTTGTTGTTTTGGAGCCTTTTCTCAAGCTGTTTTTCGTAGATGGTACGAGTTGTAGCGGTTATTGGTCCCACTTTCGCGCCAAGTGCGATCAAACTAGCCCGCAATTCTTCATCTGACAAAGCAGGCAGCTGAAAGCTTTATGCATATGATTCTGAAGCATACAAACTATTATTATCACTACGAATTAGCACACATCCTTGTATTACAAAAAAAGAAAAGAGAAACCAACTTTTTGAAATATTCGACCAGGACTTTTTGAACTTCGGCGAGTCGAACTGAACTTTCTGATCGGAGTCGACATATCTGTAGTCAAATAGTCTAGATTTATAAAGAAAAGTATGAATCACTGAAGATATACTGGCTTAGTGGCCAATTACGATCGCTCAGTTAATAGGTTTGACTATTAGAATGCTCCTCTCCCTCCAGCAGAACACACATAAATCTCATGGGAAAAACATCAATACAAGTTTATTTATTATACTTATGAAAAATGTCACGTTTCCTCCACAATGTTCAACACATCATCTGTTATGACAGGACGATGCGTTCACATCAACAATATATTGAAGTGTCACGAAGGGAATGGGAAACTTTTTTAATCAAAACACTAATCAAGCACTCACTACACTCATCCTCACCCAGGACGGAGAAACAGAAGCATCCGGACAACTACAAAATGCCACTATGTATGCCTACGGATGAGACTAGATGCTAACCCATTATCGACTGTGTCTTGAGACAATGTGTATATTACGGAGAGGAGAGAGGGAGAGCAAGGTTTAGAGAGTGTGTTGTGATAGAGTGCATGTACCAGACTGTACAGACTGGTGTGCCCTTTTCCGGACAAGGAGAAGTCAGTCATCCGAGGCGTTTGTTTCTGGTGCCAAATAGCAGTGGCAATAAAGAAGCAGAATGGTAGGAACAGCAGATAATGTTCCGAGAGCATTGCGTTATGGCCATTGTCCTTAAAGCTATCAGAATTTCTTATCAGTTTTGACTTCTAACGTATTTTGACGAGGATAAGGGTATGACAACGTTTGGATTTAGATAGAGTTGTTGTTACATTTGTGTTATCTTAGATCTCTTTCTCGGACCTCATTTATAGTTCTTTTTGAGTTCATTTTAGAAAAGTGAAATTTCATAAATGAGATAACAAATGGAATTGACGAGAACACTGAAGCCCGGGTTTTATGCAGTAGAACTGAATAAGACAGTGTGGATCATCCCGAACTGTTATCAGAATCTCACACCTGTTGGTACGGGTGCTTATGGAACAGTGTGGTTAGTTTGTTGTTTCGTGATCATTTTTCTTATCCTGTTAATTTTATATTGTCCGACTGTACTAGTCGTTAAGTAATCGTTTATTGATAGATAATAAATTACGATTTCTAGAGCTAAATAACTTAAATTATGAGATAGTTGAGATTTCCAGTGACGGTAAAGGAAGTAAAATTCCTGCATTCTTCCGTCATTTTTTTTTTATATTAAACTTCTGAAAGCCTGAGCTTTAGTTTGTTCTCGGTTTCTATGAAGGTTGCGGCGGCAGGTCCCTTGAACTTGGATCTATTGGACACCTTATTGGAATACATTCTGATGTAATTTTTAAAGATCAATAAATAGGTAATATTGGTTTCAGTGCAGCAGAATGTCGTCTAACGGGTGAAAAAGTAGCCATAAAGAAGTTTTCCCGACCATTCCAAAGTGCAATCCATGCAAAACGTACGCATCGTGAATTGAAGTTGTTACGGTCGATGAATCATGAAAATATCATCGATATGTTAGATGTATTCACTCCTGACATCAACGCTACTTCATTACAAGATGTGTATGTTTTTTTTCATACTTCATTATTGTATTTTAACTTTTACTTCCTTTGTAATGGCTGATTTGCTGAAATATCTATTTACAGTTGCTAGTTTAACTCGTTATTTTTGAAATAGAAAGAATGAACAGTTTTCTGTTGTTTTCAGAGAGAACTCTAATATATTAGTAAAGTCAAAAGATCGAGTATCTCAAATACTACTGTTTTTTACCAAATGGCATTATTATTTGCACAATAACTCGTAATTGTGTGTAGTTGAGCATAGAAAAAACTGAATGCAAAGACTTTTTGTTTAAAATCGCTCCTTTTTTCTGGAAAATAATTTTATAGACCTGTTTTGTGATATTCTTCAGATATTTTGTGTCTATGTTGATGGGAGCAGATTTATCAAGCATATTAAAAATTCAGCGTCTCAGCGATGATCATATTCAGTTCCTTGTTTATCAAATACTTCGTGGTTTAAAGGTTTTTTCCTGCCTTCTTGGAGAAAGAGAAGTTGATGATATGGATTGTAATTCAAATTCTTTCCATTTTTCTCTTGACAGAATAGATTATTATTTTACAGTATATTCATTCTGCCGGTCTTATTCATCGCGACTTGAAGCCATCAAATATAGCTGTCAATGAAGATTGTGAATTGAAGGTACAGCATTTGATCACTTTACAGAACTTGCTGATGACGAAGATTACTGAATACGAATATTGAAGAGTGGATGAAGTTCTGAGTACTGTTTTAGATCCTCGATTTTGGTTTAGCGAGACAAACTGACAGTGAAATGACGGGGTATGTTGCCACGCGCTGGTATCGTGCCCCTGAAATCATGCTTAACTGGATGCATTACACTCAAACAGGTAATAATTTTCTGTATATATGTAACCGATTTGACTTGCTTGGAGAGATATATTTTGGTTTATCTTTTCTGGCGTTTTTTTTTTTTTTTTTCCTTTTGCAGTGGATATTTGGTCAGTTGGATGCATTATGGCAGAATTAATTACCGGTCGAACTTTGTTTCCAGGAGCGGATCGTAAGCATTTTTTAGTGACTTTTAAAGTTTGCTTCGAAGTACAAAAATTTCCTTCCATCCTGATATAAACATTTTTCTGCTAATATAATTCATTAATTTACCAAATATTGCATTTTGTGAACTGGTCAGATATTGATCAATTAACGCGCATAATGAATGTAGTCGGTACGCCAAACGAGGAATTTTTATCAAAAATACAATCAGATGAAGCTCGTAATTACATACGTAATCTTCCAAAAACTCCCAGAAAAGATTTCAAAAGATTGTTCCCAAGCGCATCACCTGATGCTATTGATTTGCTGGAAAGAACTCTAAATCTCGACCCTGATTATCGGTAATTTATCACTCAGTATATTTCTTACCTTTTTTATAATGGAAAAAGTAGTTTATTTCCTTAAAGAATAGAGAAATTCCACTTTTTTAAAATATACCAAACATGAACTTCTTTTCATTATTTCAGTTTTTAACATAAATTACATTAAGTAAAGAGAGCTATTAATAGACCGACTGCTAGTGAGGCAATGGAGCATCCCTACTTAAAGCAGTATCACGATCCATCTGATGAACCCGTGTCGCCACCACTCGATATCGACTCCGATGGTTTTTTTCTTCTGATAAATCAGTTTTTTGTTTTGTTTTTTTTTTTTTTTTTTTTTTTTTTTTTTTCTGAATGTTTTACGATTTGTACCACAGACTGTTCGATATTTAAGCTGGAAAATTAGCGTGTTTTCTTGCTCTCTTTGATGAGGATGATTTTATAGAAATATGAAAAGCATTTTTTAGCATTATATTTGGGTCATTTATTTATTTGCCTAATTCTCCAATATCGTTTTAGGCATGGAGAAAGAATTTTTCTCTTTTGTAGAGAAGTGAGGCACATAGGTCCTAATTCAGATGAGCTCATATGGTTTTTTACGTTACAGGAGATTTAACTATTGACCAGTGGAAGGAGTTAATCTGGAACGAAATTGGAGACTTTGCGGAGGAAAGAGCAAAACGACTTGCTGCTCCAACTGCAAACAACGGAGCGATGAGTTGAGATCTGATTTTATGCACTATAAAATTAAAACACGAAGGAGCTTCCTCTTTTCGTTTGTATTTTTGTTTTCATTTAGTCTCAGGATGATATCGAGGTGATATAAATCTTTAACATAAGTACTCCGTGCGATTTTCTAAAAAAGTTCAATTATCTTGTCATGACATCCATATGATTTTGAATCGATTCTACTTTCTTGCAAATTCTTTTCTGTTAAAATGGATTTTTTGTTTGTTTTTTAGTTTTCTTTTTTGTAAAAAATAGATACCAATAATGTTTTTCAACATAATTATATAGGCGCTGCAGTGTAACTTTGCCATGTCATTGTTTTTTTCGGTTATATCTGACATAAATTTATGGCACTATAAATGACGATGGCAGTAAATGACTGGATAGTTCTGATCAATCTGGAAAGTTTGTAAATATGAAATTTATTTTATGTCATCCTTAATCGAATAGTTTTGTGTAGTATTTTATTCACAGTTCTAATCTTATTCATACTGTTTTGCAATTTCTAGAACTTTTATTTTGATTTACTGTAATTTTACAATTTATGTAGATATATAGGAAAAGCTCCGAAATTTGTATTGGATGTTGATTTTTTTATTTCTGTAGTTCCAGGTTTTCTCTTTCTGTCTTAAATTATCTAATTGATTCTTATTTACCGATCAATTCATCAAGCTGTTGTAATTATCAGCAGTGATGATTTTTTTATCTTTTTTGACATAGTTCATCTCGCGAACAGTTTAGTTTTAAAGCCACGATAATATTGTTTGTATAGTCTTAATTTGACCAATTTTTTTCTTCTGTCGAATTGAAATGAAATTGTTTCGGTATTATATTCTTAAAGCATAGATTTGTGTAATAAAGTTTCAAGTTGTATAGGCAAATTTTGGACTATACATACTTCCTTGCTAGTAACCTTAGTGATTCTACCATCTATTTTTAGAGATTCTTTTGTTAGCATGATTTTTTCAAGTTCAGTTGCGAAAAATTGAAACATCTACTAAAAGCGCACTTCCAATAGTTCGAACAGAATGAAATCACGGTTAACTATTATCAATTCTCACAGTAAACAATAGTGGTAGATACTGCTTATATTTACCCTTATAATCGTACAGATTTCATATTGTCGAGCAAACTCGTTTTTTCCTGCTTAACGATGAATCGTGCTGCTGGTCGTATTTTCTTACATCATATGGATTAGTGAAGGTAGCAGAAGTGATATCCTAAAACTATTGACAGTTCCAAATTGAGCAGTTTTATTTTGCTTTTATTTATTAAGAACATAATAGTTGCATTTATAAAATAGCAGATAAACTGTACTAATGATTTTCTGGAAGATGTAAGTTCTTCGGAATTACCTTTCGCTTATTTGTCTTTTTTTCCTAACAATAAATAGAAGTGAAATGATTTCGTTTTTAATAAACAATATTAAAATATAAGGTGTGAAAATGAGAATCAGTAGATTGGACGAGTTCATGCGTGAACGTTATTTGCGTGTGATTTGTGTGTCTGTGTCTGTGTGTGTGTGTGTGTCTGTGTGTGTGTGTGTGTGTGTGTGTGTGTGTGTGTGTGTGTGTGTGTGTGTGTGTGTGTGTGTGTGTGTGTGTGTGTGTGTGTTGAAATTTAAAACAATTGAGATAGCTTACACCGGGCTAAACGTTTGCTTATTTTGTTAGAATAACAATGTGTAGAATAGCGTAAGGAGGAGCGAGTTTGCATAAAGGATGTGTATATATTAGTCGAGTGTTGCTGAATTGAGAATCGGGAGTGAATCGGGATGAGGCTTTGTGAGCATGCTTAAACGTTTTGCTTTGCTTTGTTATTACAGAAGCAGTTGGACAGCCTGCCGTTAAAGTGCGCTCCTGAAAGAACATAGCAATCAGCTGCTCGGAACTTCTTGATCCTCTTATCTCTCGTTGTCTTTTGCTGCAACTTTTCCAAGAAGAAGCTCAATTTAGTTTCCTTTCATCTTCTTGCCTAACGCTTTATTTCCTAATCATTCTATCAAATGTAGCCATTTCTTTTTTTTACTGTAATAAATTAATTTGCTCTTTAGCACATGAATAAATGAATAATTACGATGTCTGAAGTGCTCAATTGTCTAACTTAATTATGTCGTTAGAGAACGATTAAATTTAATCTTTTTTTCTTTTTGAATTTTTCCAATTTAAAAAATAATTGTAATATTCCTACTATTTTAATTCATATAAAGATATGTATGAATAATCCTAGCATATAGCTTCACTTCCAATGAAGCTAAAGATAAGTAGAAAATCTGCGTTGTGAATTTAATTTAGTTAAGTGATGGGCTAACTAGAGTGAGAAGGGATTTAACGAAGACTTCATTGTTTGAAAAATAAAAAAAAAATTAATTTCTATAACATTTAGCTTATTATTAATAACTTTGCAGCCATTATGACTCAATGATAAAATTTTCGACAAATACATCGATCGTAGAAAGATAAAAAAAAAGTAAAAAATGATATCTTGTTTTAAAATCAGAATAAATCTTTGTATTTTTGAAATATTTGTCCAAAGGCGTTTCTCGAATTTTTCATTTTGGAGAGTTATAAAAGAATAATGTTCTCCGTGATTTGGGAACTTCTTCATTTTGAAAAGGATTAATTTGGAAATGATTTATGAGTTCCAAACGAGTCAGAAAAGTGTTTTCCATATGTTCATTAGCAGTGATTTAAATGATTATGAATGATGAACATTCCAACCAATGAAATAAATGAATGGATTAAACAAAACAGTTTTGCTGAAACGTTTCCTAGAGTACGGTCATATTATCGTCTAAGGATAACACTGCTTGATTTGATTGATGTGAGATAGCAAAAGAATTACTTATATCTTGAAATAATGAACTTATGAAGTATCATTCATAGGATAAATTAAAAAAGAATGGAAGATATGAGAGATACACAAACCTAACAAGTTATGAACATTATTGTGTTGTGCCGTATTTCTGCACTTATATTATCTTATTTGTTTACCGTAATATCTGTATTAACTTCTTCAATTGCCCTGCTAACACCGCAATGGCAAATAGTGACAATTACGGAATTTCATACTGAACATCAGCATGGCCTCTGGATGGATTGTATCCTCGGGAAGAAGCATGTACAAGGTTGGCGCATTTGTACTATTGTCTAAACTTGATTAATTCCTTTAACTAAATAAGATTTCTTCGGTGGATTTTTTTCCTCTTTGTTTATAGTTGAATTTATTGATTTGTTTGAAGACTAATGTTAAGGTCAAGAGGATTGTATTCTTGGGAAGCAGCATCTAATTGAACAGAATTTTACTTGTAATAGTCTGGAAGAATAAAAAAAATGAAAAGCTATCAGATATATCAGTTCATTACTTTAAAGTCTTAATTTACAGGTACATCTGAAAGAAGCCTTCATTGTACATATAAATTTGAAAGTGCTGAGAAGAATGATTTACAAAATGATGAAGATAATGAAGAGCAACATAAGTTTCACAGTAAGCATTTAAAATTGATTCTATTAATTAGCTCTAGTTAAATGGAATTAAATCTAGTAATTTACTCGATAAGCATAGATATAAATGAACATCATATTGTATTTCTTAAAATACAAACATTTTAAATTGGTATAACAAATGGATTAAAGTGGTATTTTCTGAGTAAGTTAATTTATCATATGATATGTTGTTATTTGGTGAAAAAATCTAACATTTTATTAAATGTTACTTCGTAAATTACAGCAATTAAAGTTGTAGTAATTAAAATTTATTATAACAAATTATAATTGTGAAAACTGAGTGAATATTTACAGTCGTCTGCTATGATCATAACAAAGAATTTAAGAATTCCTTGGCATACTGAAGTACATCAATTTCATTAAATTTGGGCAAAAAAGAAAAAAAATGCTCTATAAATTAGGAAAGATAAAGATCAATAATTATTCAAGAAGGAACAAGCAACATACCTTCTAAAATAATAAATCCATTCAGTTTTCAGAATGATTCGTTCAAAAAATATATTCATGACATATTATAGAAAATCATCCATCTTCAAAAAAAGGAAAAGACAAAGCAATTAATAATTACTTTCAGAATGTTTATAGGATTATAGTTGCTATAAACGATGTTAAGATGCTAAAACTTAGATCAAATAAATATTTTCCAACATCGTTTTTTTTTTTTTTTTTAACGACAAATTATAGATTGGCATAAAGCTGTTCTATGTTTATTGCTTCTGGCGATGTTAACAGCTCTTACTTTATGTTGCTTTCTAATGTGCGCATTATACTTTCGTATTGCAGCCCTTGTTTCATGTACCTTATCATTAATTGCAAGTAAGTTATTTCTCAACTATTACGTTGACATATGACTGTATAATACTAAAAATTACAAGCTACCTACATGCTAAAATACACCCTATTGCTTGTTTGCTGATTGGAATTTAAACTTCCTACTTCCCAAACAATCTAACACACAGATTAACGAAAAGGCAATAATATGACGATTGACCATGGACCTTTTTCGGAATGTTCATATTTTGGCGTATTGAATGTGATAGTAGTTTTACTTTTACGAATTTGAGAATTTCTAAGCAATAATCTGATATGTAAGTTAATTGAATGAAATAATTTGATGGTTTAACGGCAATGTTTATATCAGCTATCATACGATTGCAGTTTTCCCAAGATTTAAATCGATTTTATTCCATATTCACGTTTTAGCAATCTTGTCAAGTGTTGCCATAGTTGTATTCTTTATTAATTCACACAAAGTCGAAATTCGATTTGTGCAAGGTATTACTCGAACATATGAGGTTTGTCTATGAAATTAATTTTCTACAAAAAAAAAAAAATTTTTTTTTGATACACAAAAAATTTATTACATCTTATGCAAGTGCGCTGAATACTTTATGGTTGTAAAACTGTTTGTATGATATTCCTCTATCTCTACCGTGTAATTTTATATAAAATTTCTTAAATTACAGCAAAGGTGTGGTTATTCATTCTATTTGGCGCTTTCTTCGTGTGTCACTTTTCTAGCAGCATTCCTTTGTTCAGTATTTTGTACGGTGATGGTATTTTTACATGAGCGGAATCGTCGACAGCCACCAAAAACATACCCATTAATTAATAGTGCCGTGTAAAAAGTGAACTGGAATTCCGGTCTACAGTCAAATAAATGCTTAGTGGTTATCTTTTCACTTCATTCCGTGTGCTATGACAAGAAGTATTAAGTATGATGATTGAGTTGTACAAATATCGAGTTAAATTAGCAGTGCAAACAATATATTGTTAAAAGTTTTAAAGTCTTGAGAACCCTAATTATCAGCTTGATAATTGCCATCCCTAGTAATTAAGATTTCTCTCCTGAAAATCATTGTTTCATTAATTTGACATATTCAAAATTTGCAACTCCATTTTGAAATGTTTATATGCTTTCCTTTTTCTTTTGAATGCATTTATTTTTCACTTCATAATTTTATAAGCAATTTTCCAGCAGATTTTCTGACAAAAATATTTAAAATTTGTAATAAATTTCTGTTGTTTCTAGCAAAACTCATATTGTTTTATGATAATTCAAATCCTACTGAAATAATTGAAATGTTTTATCAATATGATAAATCATTTCCACTAAATGCTTTCGTTAATAAAATGTTATCCTATAAAATTATTTCTCAAAATACATCCGTTTTACTGCCAACAGTAGAATATTAATTGACCCTTTGTCAAGAGTGATCATTTGATCATTGATGTAATCACTCTCGAACAACCAATGATAAAATCCATTTTATCATGATCATCTAATTGTACTATATAGTACCATATCTTGTCTCGTTACATCCAAAGCATCAGTTATCCATAATAACAAAAACGAAGTAATTGCTCATTAAAAGATGCAATCAGCTAAATCTTTTAACCTTATAATAGCTGATATGATACGCTTTTGCTTTAATTCGCACATTTTTTATTCTGAAAAGTTTCGATATGTAACTATTCCTTATTTGTTACAATATATGTTGTATATTATGTGTATAATATATTACAGATAACGGATAAAACATTACGGATAAACATTTCGAATATTTCTTCACTTGTTTAATTCTGAGGATTAACAAATGTTACTCTCTTCTTCTTTCTCTCTCATCCTCCACCTCTTTGTCTCCCTCTTCCTCTCTATCCCTTTCTAATTTATTTATACATATATATAAGCATGAAAAATTACTCACTGAATACATTCTATTATTAGAGAAATAACTAATGAGACCTTATATTTGTGAATTTTCATGATGAAAGACGCAGATATAATGTTGTCTGAAATTTAACAATACTAATATGAATATGTGTAATAAAAGTATCAAATGAATATTTTTAGTATCATTTAAATTACTTCGAAACAATACGATACTTAAAGATTTAATCAAAACAAAAATTTGATTTGTTTAATGTTATTTCTCGTTTAGTATGATTAATTGCTAAAACAATTTTACATAACATTAATAGTTTTGTATAGTTCGAAATTGAATGATTGATAAGTTTCCTTCAAAGAGAAAAAAAAATGAAAAAAGGAAAAGTTGAGGAAAAAAAATAAGGCATAGCAGTTACCGGCATAGTCAACCATAATATTATTAGCACTGGGATGAGAGAATTGCATATAGGGTCTGCTTTTCGGGGTGGGTTTGTTTAAGCCACACATTCTTCAGAAACTAGTTCCAAAAGGGAGTTGTGAATATTTGTTTGTTTTTTGGTTGGTTGGTAATAGTTGTCATAAGTATTTCATGTGTACTAATTCAGATTCCGCGTAAGAACATGTAAGTTGAAATTTGCATATATATTTGGATGTAACAGATTTGATATTTTCAGGCAAAAGATGTGGTTCGCTAACTTGCTCGTTCCCCTATTCCTGCCATATTTTTTGTATGCTAAACGACAAGAATCATGTGAAGGTTTGATACCATTAGTGATGACACAAATTCACAAATAAATCATGGGTTGATTTCTGTTGCTTATAATTGCGTAAGAGGAAATAAAAAATGATACCATATAGTATTGAATGTTGGTAACGGGCTCTTTGATTCGGCATAATTGTGATTTAGGAATTTGGAATATGAGAAAGTAATTTAATTTTAACTCTACTCAACATGCTTTAGAAGGTACTTTTGTGAAACACATCTAAACTTCCTAATTTTGATAGAAAGTATGAAATTTTTTTGCAGTATGTGAGAAAGTTTTACGTGATGTGATGAACAGTATGGCAGTGAGTGATCGTAGTGATGCAGGCAGAATCGATGAAGCACTGAGAGAACACTGTGGTGGAATAAAAGGGAAAGAGAACAAATTTGTCCGTTTTATTTGCTTCGTGTTTTAATTAAAACATTACATTACGTGGATTTATCGCATAGTTGGATTTTCTTACCGAGGAACCCGTAAATTGTTGACCAGGTGCTTGTATGAAATGAATTCTTTAGATCTGGAATATTTACATAGGTTTGGATGGAAAATTCTAATTTTGAAATTCGACTACTTATATCAAGTCTTTCCAGTGTTTTTATGTTGGTGCTTTGCCTGAATCCGCTACTTCTATTATGAATGATGTAGTGAAGCCATTATCTTGGTCTATGCCAGTGGAAAAAGTTTGCGAAAAGTTGCGTACAATGGATTCACAGATATGCGAATTGAAATTCGGTAGCTTTCTCGCATTTTTCAAGTGAAATGAAAAAGATAAGCATTATTTGTCATAGATTTTTCTTCTTTGAGAAAGGAAAAGTTGGGTACGAGAGGAGAATTTTGAGCCGGTTAGTTCTACACTGTTTGTAAGATGTTTATTTCCCGATGTTATAAAATTTGTGCGACAGCCACAACTATAGGATAAATTATTTTTGTATGTTTTCTAGACAAGGATATTGATTGGGAAACGGTGGATCTTAAGAAGCTAAGAGTTAAAGAACTGAAGAAAATTCTTGAGGATTGGGGCGAGGTATGTTCGACTTTTTTCACTTGCTCTTTCTTTGAGGTGGATTATCTCTTCTGGGAAGTTCTGAAAGTCAATAATACTTTATTTTCAGTAGGTTTGCAACATTATAAAAGGTTGTTCATTATTCGTAATTTCTTCAGAATTTCAGGAATGCAAGGGATGCACCGAAAAATCGGAATACATAGCTAAGATTGTAGAATTGAAGTCAAAATATGTGAAGAGTGAACTGTGATATTTTTTCAGAATTTACAAACTTTAATTTATTTTCAGATAAAATCTGTTGTTGTCGTCATTGTTTTTGTTATTGATAAAATAAAGTAGTCTTAATGTTTGTCCTATTTCCTTTTGGTTTTTCCACTTTCCTATCTTTCTTAAAATATGTTATATAGTCGTTCATGCTATGTTCTGACATATCGAGAATAGTTTTAAGATCTGGATAGCGTTAACGAATAGAAGTTCCCAATTTTTAGATAATATTAATAGTTACTGGGAAGTGTTATTTGAAGTGAATTGATTGAATGTTTGGTTGAGACTAGTTTTTACCCAAATTTGAATGTTTTGTGACAGAGTTTCTTTACCACTCAGATTAAAGGATGGTCAGATATGGCCTTATCTGTTTTGTAGACTGTGAAACATGTAGAAATGAAAAGACGTTTCGATTGCAGAAGTGCATAATAGTTTCCAGTGTAAAAGACATCTGTGATTTCAGGGTTGCTGTTTTACTGTTGTTTGGGATAGATTATGGCAGGAGCGTTACCGCGACGTATTGCAAAAGAGACGCAACGTCTAATAGCAGATCCTGTTCCTGGGATTTCGGCTGTACCGGATGACAACAATGCACGTTATTTCCATGTAATTATCGCAGGACCAGAAGGTAGCCCATTTGCTGGAGGAGTATTTAAGTTAGAACTCTTTCTACCTGAAGAATATCCAATGGCAGCTCCAAAAGTCCGTTTTATGACCAAAATATATCATCCGAATATCGATAAATTGGGACGAATATGCCTTGATATCCTCAAAGGTTTGTATTTATATGAAATACATGTTAGGTTTTGGGAGAACTGGAGTATACGTTATCATATACCAAACCATTTCTACTTTTTATTATCGTCATTGCAGTTACAAGAAAAAGTGCACAGTAATCGACAAGTACTTACTGCTGATTATAAATAGAAATAAACAAAATGATTACTTTGTTGACTTATTAAAAAAAAATTTTTTTTTAAAAAAAAAAACTGAACGCGACATGAGAATAAAGACAGTTGACGAGCGATTTTGCTAGATGGACCTGTTGAAATGTTTAGATAGTTAGTGAATCAAGAAGTGGTAGTTCAGCTGTAGTGTCGTTAACCTTTTTCAGGATTTACATCCAAATTCCATCTCATTTCGTTACATTTATGTTGTCAAAAGAAAAAGGTTTTTTCAGTTTCAGTCTTTTTTTTTTCTCCAGAGGAAGAAACAACAATTGAATGATATAACCTGCTTCGTCTAGAGACCAATGCTATTGCTCACGTTCACGGTCGAAAATTTTTACTGTATTTTTTTCAGATAAATGGTCTCCGGCGCTCCAAATCCGTACAGTGTTATTATCAATTCAAGCCTTACTCTCAGCTCCGAATCCAGACGACCCGTTAGCAACAGATGTTGCAGAGCAATGGAAAAGTAATGAAAGTGATGCAATTCGTATAGCGCAGGAATGGACTCGTATCCATGCGAATGGACAGTAGCAGATTTATGTATGGATGACAGTTGATACCATTTCCACTGGATCATAAAGTTTTTGAGTCTCTTTTATTTATCAGATAAAATAAAACTTTTGATTCAATATCTCACTGAAAAGATAGAATTTATATGAGTTTGTCGTCTGGTGTGATTAAACTCCGTCTTTTGGTGCATCAAAATTGATTTCATTTCCAAGTATCAGTCTCTAAATAACCGCGTCTTTAACATTATAGTTGATGTTTATATTATTTGCATAATATGCTTTACCAGCGGCAGTTGCAAAACATTTCCATGTGGTCCATTTTCCTGATATTTCAAGAACTGATATTTTAAGTGTTACTTGTCATTCTTAATCGGTTTGTTTCGAAGTCCGTAATTATAAAGTGAACTTCTGATTGGCTGTGTTACTTGTAATATTTTTTAACTGTTACGTTTGGTAAATTGAGATACTTATAGGGAAATTTATATAGAGATTTTTTGTGAATAAGACAGTATTAACTGCACTGAAAACGAAAATTTATTTAGGAATCACAGAAATTATAGGATCTGTCACTATTTTTAGGATGTGGTAATAAAGTACTGCTATGACGACTGTATACTGTTTTTGGTCTAGAATGTCGGGATGAGTAGACATTCTTGGTTCAGTAAGCTTTCACATTGTAAGTGGAATCAATTGATTTTGGGGTGCCCTTTTTTTTTTTTACAAGTGATATCTCGTTTATCATAGAGTGCCTTTTCCGTATAATCCGACTCATCATTAAAAAATAAGAAATGTGAGTTGTAGCACACTAAATCACCAGTCGATTTGTACATTTTTTGTTCTTTTCATCATCTGTCTTATTGGTTTATGTAATAGCGATTATGTTTGATTAATATGTCTCTAATTTTTCTGTTTTCATATGTATATCTCAACCATCTTATTCCCTTTTTCAGTCTTAAGTTTTTTACTCCATCTTTGTGCTCTCTCTATGTATTTCTACTTTTCCATAAAAAATTCTGTTCTTGATGATGAGATGTTTTAAGGTCACCATGTTCATACTGCATGACCATTTATATTTTTCTGATTCTGAGTAAGATAATTGATTGGCTGCGTTACGAAGCTGTTGACTGCAGCGTGTTTTCTCTATCTGTTAGTTTAACATTATTAGATTATTTTTGAGAAGAATGGATGGCTTTGTTTTGTGTGTTTGTATTGGCAAATGGTTGTTTGGTTTTCAGAAAAATGACGCTTCAGTGGTTTGTTGTGGCACTGATTTTATATCTGGAAATAGCGGTCGTACTGCTGCTACTTTTGCCTTGGATTCGTCCAACACTGTGAGTCATTTCAAAAAGGATTTCTTGGTTATCGAATATTTTCTGAGATAATGTCGCATTGACTAACATTCTTCCCAGTTCATTTCTTTACAGATGGAGTAAATTTTTCAAAAGTCGCATCGTGAATACGTTCGAAAAACACGCAACCGTTTATTTTATTTCTGCTCTCTGTATCCTTTTGCTTCTCTTTGCAGGTTGGGTTTTCTTTTCATTCTTCTCAAATGCTTCGGACAGATTAGGTTTATATTCTTTTTCAAGAAGATTAGGTGCTTTCTTATAAATAATTCTTTTCACTGATTTTATTTTTTATAAATGAAAAATTGTTTTAGATGCTATTCGAGAAGTCCGAAAATACGCGAATGAAGTAGCAATAGAGGGTTCAATTCGTCATACTGCAGATTCAGAAAATGTTGTTCACATGCGGCTTTTTCGCGCGCAGCGAAATCTTTACATTTCTGGATTTGCACTCTTGCTCTTCCTGTTTGTTTACTTTGAAAATTTTATTTGAAAGCCTACGGGAATATTTTTTTTTCGAAACTTTTTGGAAGTACTAGTAGATTTTACTGTTGCAATTTGCTTTTAGGTTTAAATTGGCTGCTTGCTGTGCAGAAGTAGTTAATACTTAACTTATACTGTTCTGTTTTTGAAAATTTTTCTTTTTTTTTAGAATTATTAAGCGGTTAGTTGCACTTCTTTCTCGTGGAGCATTGCTTGAAGCTGCTGCTGAGGCTGCAATGAAGCAAGCTGAAAGTGCAACCAAAATGGCAAAATCTTACATGGTACAAATAATTTCCATCTGTTGAAATTGACAGTTCTCATTATTGTGTAGATTCTATGAGTATATTGATCTATGAGTACATGTCATTTATTCCATAGTTATATCAGTTGTATTAGTTAATGTAGTTGCTGAAATTTTTGAATATCATGTGGGTTGTATTGCATGTCAATTTCGAGTAGCAAAAAATCATCTTTCTTGCTTTTCTTACCTTCAACGCTCGTTTTTCATTTTTTTATTGAGGAGAGAAATAATTTCAATATAACCAGCTGAGATTATTTGTTTCAGTATGGTGAGGGCGAAAGAGAAAAGGAACTAGAGCGACAAGTGGAAGAGCTTGGCAGAGGTACTGCTTATGTGCTTCTTGTAATAGAATGTCCAGTAGTTCGGTGCACCGTTTATTTCCATCTTGATGTTAATATCTAGTGCTATTAGTCTTGGTCATGAACAGATATGGTTGGTAAGAATGTATCATGCTATTTTTCTAACCGTACCTATTAATAATAATGTCGATTATTATATTCTTCATACTTGAATTGTTTTTGAAGAACTGAAATCAGCGCAAGTGGACAGGGACACTATGAAGGAGCAAGCAGAGAGTCTTGAACGAGAATATGATCGTGTTTGTGGCTTGCTTAAGCTGGCTGAGGTAAGTTTTCACTCTTTCAGTAACGATTGGTTTCGTTCTGACAGCAAATAAGCGGAAAACCTGGAAGCGTTTGTTTAATTCTAATATTTAAACATTACGGATTTTATACTTTTAATCCGCCTATCAACTTTAATTTCCTTGCTGTCCCGTTGAACTTTCTCAATGCAGTTTTTTGTAACCACATTTAGAGTGGTCCTTGTAAAAATCATCGAGAAATGAAATTTGTGCAAGACAGACTTTCCAACTTATTTAACGTTTTCCAGAAAGCGAGTGGAGACAAGAAAGAAGATTGATGTTGTTTACTTGTGATCAGTTATATACACTTATGAAGCATGATTAGTTTCCAAACTACCTTTGGATTATTTTTAAGTTAATATAACTTTGCTGAAATCTTTATCAGTAGATAGCAAAGAGCATTTGTATTTAGAATTATATCTGCAATGTATGCCTAAGATCAGTCTTCGTTATCCATTCAGTTGTTTATGGGTAGTTTTTCACGAGCTTTCGAAACTGTTCAGTGCGCATATCTTTTGAACCAGTTCATTGTTTACATTTCGATACTTCCCTGTCTGCTGTCATCTTACAGCAAGCAGGAAGTAAGCTATTTAGCAGTGACTGTTCAGATGGTAGGTTATATTCCTAACCATTTATTTTCAAGTTTACTGACGAATTCGTTGTGGTTTGTAAACCTTAATTATGGCAGAAGTTTATTGAGTTGATTTAAGACGTACCATTGTTGATTTGCCATTTCCATTAATCTTTGCTTCCGGTATTACGTCTTTTAAAATGTTATCATTTACATAAATTTTAATATTTTATAAATATTCTCTTACGGCATAAAAGATGTGGCCGTTAAGCCCGACCCAATGTTGGAAGTTTTGATAAGTCGTTATAACGTCAGCATCTGTTTAAAGTTGCTGCAAAAGGTGATTACCATGAGCTGTGCTGAGCATTATTACTAAACATTACTCAGTACAGCTCATGAATAAATTTTTCACTGGATGATTTTTGTCCATCAAAGATAGCGTGCAATAAAACAAGTGCAGTAACAGCACGGCATATCTTTCTTCTTTCCATAAGCTAGACGATTAATATTTTCGCAAAGTGGCAAAGACTTATGATTGTTATCATTTACCAAACATTCAAATTAGAATGATTAAGCATAACAATCTAGAAAACAGAAATTTACTTCATGTTTCAACGTTTCAAACATTCTTTCCAACATGGGCATGGATAACTGGGTTTGTTAATGAAAGAAGAAATGAACTAGAAATGTTATGAGCTTGCCTACATTTGTCTACTTTTGTCGATCTCATTGTTTGAAACATCTGGATGTGAAAATGTGAATGGAAGTCACCTAAGTCTTCGATGTCTTCGACATGCAGTAGATGAGACTACTACAACAGCAATTTACAACTTCGCACAATTACCTAACAAGGACTGTTATTTAAATGCGGAAATACTGATAAACAATAGATAGGAAATAGGTTTAAAGGGATCGGGGGAAACCTGAAGGGTTTTTGAATGAACTATAATTCCATATATCACCTTCATATGGTATGAAGAATATTAGAGCAAACTCATGTATAACATGAACATTCAAAATTACAGTCAAAATGGTATGATTTCCTTGAGTGATTGTAGTATTTACAGGAAAAGCCATAACTTTACCAATCACAAATGTTGCTGTACAACGACGAATTACAGTTCCATTCCCTGTGTTTCATCTGTAAACAGATTTGCAAAACATAAGGAACTTAAGTACAGGATGATACATGGCATTCTTACATATAAGGTTTTTCCATTGTCACTATTTGAATAAAGTGAGAATGTTAGCACTAGCGGTTAAAATGTACCTTCCGTAAAATCAGATATAGTGGAACTCGATTCATCTCCGCTCGACGAGCTTTGAGGTTCCTTGTTAACTTCGTCCGTGTTGATGCAGTTCCTCAAAGCCTCTTCGCTGGCATATTTAAGCACATATTCTGTAATCGGAAGAGCTTACAAAGCAAACACTTTTCCAATCCTGATTTTCGAAAGCTACAATTTTCTGTAGTAAGTTGAGAGATTGAAAAAATACATACTTCCAGTCAGATAAGGTTCATGAAAGTAATTATTTTGTCAAAACCTCATATTCACATGTCGATATCTTGACTTTAGTGTCAAGATAATTTGTGACCACGAACCTCGGCACTTTTTCTTAAATTCTTCAGGCTTATGTAGGTATAGCGCAGCAGCATCACCGTTCAACGGATCCGTTGGATTAGGATACGTTAGTAGTTGAGGCAAGAATGATTCGAAAATGTTTGCGAGATCTGCAAGTTAAAACAACATGCCTTTGGTATTTATGCATTTAATAAATGAATGCTTTTTTCTTCGATATAACCAAGAGGAATGTTGTATATACTTGAACTATTATGTTATTCTGCTTTGTAGTAATAATTACCGTATAAAGCAGTCCAGGCTTGATTAATTACATCAAGGCAAACAGTGCCTGATGCTTCATCGATATTTGGATGATAAATGCGGTTCATGAAACCAATGGATGGTGATTTGAAGGGATACTTTTCTGGCAAATCAACGCGAACACGCCATACTCCTCCTTCATAAGCAGCTACAAAAGGATATATTTGAAGCAAAAACACAATTTTTCAGTTATGTCGATAATGGCTGAAAAACCAAGCTGAATCTGTGGATGAATTAAACGGCTTCCACAGTAAGCTTTCCATCATACATCACAGTAAGATGTTCTATTTTGAATACTTCATTGTACTCTGATACGTTTGAAAAACTTGATAACTTGTACAAAACACTCTAACATCTATCATACATTCCAATGAAGACTTACTCCCTTTTGGACCATGAAATTTGACAGCAAATTCATTAATACCACCTGTGATTGTTACTTCATGTTTACTTTCAATCCTGAAACGATGTGATGCAGAAGAAGTTGATGCAGAATCAATACAACACCTAAGGTATGATTACTTTGAATTTTTAGCGAAGATGAAACTTAAGTGTTTCGACAAACTTCTGGACAGAAGCAATGCAAAAAGACATTTTTTGTTATTTTTATGGTTGTAAATACTATTAGTAATTTTAAAAAATTTTAATTTCTTTTACCTTTCATGTCTAATTCTAATTAAAATTTTTGTGAATGACATGTGAAAAGTTCTTGTTTCCAACTTACCTATTCAGTATATTACATATTATTATTAGAGGATATTATCTTTGAATCAATCAATGGCCAATTTCTTATTTGATACCTATATAATGTGTGGAAGAATCATAAATAATTTATCCCTTATGAATTCATCATCTGATAACTCCGTTATTTATTTATCTAACATTATCACATAATTCCATTTACAGTTAACGAAACACAACGTAATAAAGCGGAAAAAAAAATATGAAAAAGTATACGAGATAAACTCACAATTTTATCACATCTGTATCCATTCGTCGTTTGCCAGCACTTGGAGACGACATTTTTGATTTGTCAAGCCGAATAAAAATAGAGTGAGCGGAAAAACCTGGGCATAAATAATTCGATAATTTATCACTTAGTATTAATGTAATCGTTTAGTCAGCTGTTAAATTTAAGCAATAAGTACACTGCAGCGCTCAGAAATAAAAAATTAACAGTGAAAGCAATAGTGAAATAATGAAAATGAAAATTAGTTACGTAACTGCAAATTTTTATTTAACATATGATAAATGGAAAATGTTTCGAAGTTTTGTGCAACATTTTCTTTCTTAGTTATGAAACAAAAATGAATGAAACAATGAATCAATAAAAGAGATCACAAAATAACAAGAGAAAAATTCAGAAGTTTCTAAACATTTACGGATTATATCAATAAATAAATAAGGAAATGAAGTGCAAACTTTCTGCGGTGTGTAAGAATGAAAAATTTTAAGTATTGGAATTTCTTTTCAGTTCCTTTTTATTGTATGGGAAGATGTTACTGAAAGTCATATTTACTGATGGAAAGAGAATTATCCTATAAGAATGACCAATTAGTAATGAAATAATAATGAAATTTCAGTAAACATAACATGTCAATTATTTGAGAATCAGTATTTGAAAATTAATTAACACACAGTTCATATAGTAGTGAAGTTATGAAGGAATTGGCAAAAAACGAGTTAATTAGAATTCTCAAGTAATCTCTGAACGGAATATGACCGTTTAATGGCATTCAAAAAGACGTATGTCAGTTTTTTACCGGAATTTAGCATAAAGTGAGATGAAGTTTGTATTTCTGCGCTCTGCGCGAAAAACAAAAGTCAAAACTAAGCCACCCAAGCTGATATGACATGTTTGACTGGATATATTTAATGCTTATTCGTCCATTCATTCATTCATTCATTCATTCATTCATTCACTCACTCATTCATTCATTCATTCATTCACTCGCTCATTCATTCATTCATTCATTCATTCACTCACTCAATTCATTCATTCATTCATTCATTCATTCATTCACTCACTCAATTCATTCATTCATTCATTCATTCAATCCACTCATTCATTCATTCATTCATTCATTCACTCACTCAATTCATTCATTCGTTCATTCATTCACTCACTCAATTCATTCATTCATTCACTCACTCAATTCAGTCATTCATTCATTCATTCATTCACTCACTCAATTCATTCATTCATTCACTCACTCAATTCATTCATTCATTCATTCATTCATTCATTCAATCCACTCATTCATTCATTCATTCATTCATTCATTCAATCCACTCATTCATTCATTCATTCATTCATTCACTCACTCAATTCATTCATTCATTCACTCACTCAATTCATTCATTCGTTCATTCATTCACTCACTCAATTCATTCATTCATTCACTCACTCAATTCAGTCATTCATTCATTCATTCATTCACTCACTCAATTCAGTCATTCATTCATTCATTCATTCACTCACTCAATTCATTCATTCATTCACTCACTCAATTCATTCATTCATTCATTCATTCACTCACTCAATTCAGTCATTCATTCATTCATTCATTCATTCAATCCACTCATTCATTCATTCATTCACCGGATCAATGATGTTAACATAGATACTCTTTCTCTCCTTCTCTCTCCCCCACCCGCCTCCTTTCTCCTCGTTAGGCTTCTTTATTGCAATAGTGCATTTAAGAATACTCTTTCTCTCTCTCTCTCTATTGATATTCTGCAGTCGGGATTTCAAACTCGCAAAATCCGGAATAATTACTGGACAGTATCCTATCTAGTTCATTATGCTCACGCAATACAACGTTGG